TCATTTCTTTATATATTTCTTATATTTTTCTTTACTATATTATTTTTTCTTTCTTTTCTATTTTTCTTTCTATTTCCTTTCTTTTTTTCTGCACCTTCTATTTTTTCTTTCTATTCTTTTATTTTTTTAGTTTGTATTAGTTTTTTATTGTTGTAATTGTAATTTTAAAAAAAATATAAAAAGTATCTACAGATCACCAGGTTTGCTCAGTATGTCTGAATGGATAAAAGCAACAAATCTGTTCGACATTACTCTATGCTGTACACATCAAACAGAACTCAAAATCCTTCATAATCCCAACTAAACCAAACTATTACCTTGAATTAATTTCTGCTCCAGCATTGAGTAGGATCTTAATAATGTTAACATATCCACCAGATGCAGCAAGACTTAGAGGAGTATAATCAGACACATTTCTGTGTTCTTTGTTTGCTCCTCGTGCTAGCAGAAGGTCTACCACCTGAAATATGAAATAGTATTAGGACTATCAAAGTTGGCAATAGCATCAATGTGCTCAAGACAAATAACTAAAGCTTTAAATCTGGCAACAAGCTGCTATAGAGTATATCAAAAATATGGAAGAGATCACAGAAAAATTATGATGTACAACATTAAAGTCAAGTTTCAGTTCTCATACTACTGCCTTACTGAATTCCCAATCTATGAATAAAATCTAATATCTGCATGATTTTACAGATTATAAAATGGACTCCAGGACAGTCCACTTTTTTAAGAAGTTGCAAACATATGTGCAAGAAACCAGTTCTAAAACATATTAATCTTAGATCATGAGAAAAGGAAGGCAAACCCCATTCACATATACCTATAACAGCGTAATCTATGAAAGATAATGTAACTGTATTTTGCTCATACATTCCATGTAATTTTGGAATAGAGTGGGGTTTCCCAATCTTTTTGGATTGGTGGGCAGATTTGAAATTTTGAGAACTTGCTGTTGTGGTCTTGCAATATGGCATCAATGGAGGGGTTGCTAACTCATAATGTGGCTCCATGGGGACGTAATTTGTTACAAAACATTGAATAACCAGAATGCCACTTGCTATTCCTTTTAGACCAGGAGTCTCCAAACTCTTCACCTCATCAATCCCTTCATGAAGTTTCAGATTGTTCACTGACCCGCAAACGTTTATTTTATGAAAATAATGTAATAAATATTACTCCAACTAATAGTACTATGAATAATAACAACACTGACCCCTTGGACGGTCCCATCAACCCTTGGGTGTTGATACTGACTACTCTGGGGAACCCTAGACTAACCCCCTCCCTCAGTCCTGTTTACTTGGAGGAGGGGTGCAGGTGGGAACAATTCTAAGCTAAGTATTTAACTTGCATCCAGCATTTTTATTTTCTAAGAATGTTTCTGGGGCTTACATTTTACTTTGTGGCATGCCAGACTCCCATTTTTTAAAATTAAAATGGTTTATAATAAATAAAAAAGCCAAATAGAGCAAAGAACTTGGAGAGCACCAAGGGAGGCATCTGTAGATATGCTGTGGATCCAGGAAACAGTGTCTACACTTGAAGCATCTAGCATACATGAGTATATTCTAGAGGACGTTCACCCAATTTGGGGTAGGGCTGGGCAATCAATACATGCTTTCGTAAGCTACAGAATGCAATAATTATAATATGCAGCAAAATATTGTAGCAAGTGAGGAGACATATCAGGCTGCTAGATCCTGTTCTTCCAAACTATGACTATAATATTTAAACAGAAACCTATGTAAATTTTTTTAAAGATAACACTTACCTCTTGACGGCCACCAGAGCATGCTAATGAAAGTGGTGTGTCCTTAGTACGCTCCGACTGGGCTTCTATATCTCCACCTTTATCTAGAAGTATCTCTACAACACCAACATGTCCAGCAGTTGCAGCTAAAATTAGTGGTGTAAACCCTAACAGAAATGATTCCATTATTAGAAGCCATTTGGAAAACAAGAATCAAAGTTAAGTTACGCAATCAGTAAAACCACGGTATTTCAAAATCAGTGGTTCACAAGACGGTGTCAATGGAAATCATTATGTAGGAAATTGAAATAAAGGTTCTGCGTTTGTGACAGAACATTTCGGAGAAACAGAAGTGATGTGTGTTTGAGACCCTAACTCTACACTTAATTAAGGCTTGAAATCACATATAGAAACAAAGATTTGCTACCCAAATATTTACCATCAATTAGGAAAAAATACAAATGCTATTCCATCATCAGAAAATTATGAAAAACCAACGGGATGCTTGACTGGATATGAATGATGTCTAAAAAAAAAGCAGTGATAAATAGCAGCACTTCAATAGCTTACCCTTTTTGTCTCTGTGTTCTATACTGGCACCTCGTGCTATCAACACAGAGACAAGTTCTTCATGCCCACCAGCACATGCAAGTGTCAGCGCAGTATCATGATTACTCTCCGTCTTAAAATGAGAAAAGATACATTTTAATTTTATTAATTAGTATTATTATTCTGTCATGTAACCAAAATAGTTTTTAAAAGGGAGAAAGATATAGTTAATCAACATTACTCACATGGGCATCAATGTCAACAGAAGGGTATGTGGGAAGCACAGACTGAGAAGTCACACTGAGCGTTTGCGAACAGGATTCAGGTATAGCCGAATCCATAACATGTGAGGAATTGGAGCCGGTAGGCACTCTGCTATTGACAGCTGGGAAAGAAAAACAATATGCTCAGTATCTCTTGCATGAAGAGATTCTTTCCAGGCATGTTTAGCTGCTAAATTAATGAACCACGTTAAAGAAAATATAAGATCATACTCTAGTTCCTGAAACACCTAAGAAGGAATCTTACTTTTATACGCTGAATCAAATGTCCAAATCAAAAAGTCATGCAAATTCTAAAAAGTATGAAGGATGTATGTAAAATCTGGACCATGCCTGCTTATAATATTTAGTGACTGGAAAATTGTATCTTAACCTCATTTCAAAGAAATAAGAAACACATCTTATACATGCACAATACTTTGCATTAGTTGAGTTCCATTTATTTTTTATATTTGTCCATCCACCTATTTTACTTCCAAACTCCTGACTTACTTACTGGAACAAATACAAAATCAGGCTATTGATGCTAAATGCCAGGTGTGTTTCCAATAAGATCTCTCTCCACCATAATCTGATTGGGTATGTGCACGTATACCTGGCATGTATTACTAAAACCAGGCAGTGGTTTTGGTGCAGGCAGTGATCTCTCCTTCTTAGAGATCTGCCTTTCCAGGTTTCAAATCCTTCACCAGCTACAACACCAGGGCTGAGGAGGGGGAATGGCACTAATCTGTAGAAGCATCCTACTTGTAACCAGGGCCTTTGCTCCAGAAATAGCAGTTTGTGAATATCTATAAGCTAACTGAGCTATAGGGGCAAACTGGGTATTCTGCTGCTGCCACCTGGAGGCTTGATGGTATCTGTCCCTGAGCTTCTTGAACTGGTCTTGGGATTGGGTGGCTTAAATTGCCATTTCCTTTGTCCCAGATGGCCTTGTCTGAAGTAATTTCAGAGCAAGACATTAGACCTTGCTTTTTCCTCAAGAGGAATCTGGAGACGGAGGGCGTTTCCATCAGATCTTTGCCATGGTCAGATCACTTCAGTGCCTCCTAGGACCTCCATTAATAGACTGATTAGGAAAGGTCTACTCTAGATACCTAATGAATCCAGTTGGTCTCCAACAGGGACATGGGGATTTTCTTAGTGACCTTGCAGGCAGTTCTACTGAGTGGCTTGTTAGCCACTGGCAATTAGTGACAAACTTGACACCGTTGCTTTCAAGCAGCGTTTTCCTATGGACTGATCTTGAATGGCCCCTTGGTCCTCCAGGAAATGAAGCAGCAGAAGAAATACCTAGAACACTGCTAGGGAAAGATGAAAAGTGGATCCAAGAGCATGAGGACCACCTCAAATATGAGCTTACTCTGTGGTGGTAAGGGAACAGCACAACTACTTCTCCTCCCTTATTGCACTGGTGGGCTGTCACCCAGTTGCCTTATTTAGGTTGGCTAATTTCCTTTCACTTGCCAGGTTGGCGAGTTACTTTTTAGTTTCCAGGAATATGTTTCTCCCACCTAGTTGCCACGACTGCTAAGCACAGTATTTTGATGACAACATTGCTCAGATTTCCCAAAGACTTGACTCTTCATGAATAGTGTGTGTTGTGATTGAGGTAACATCTGGCCATGTTATCTTGGGTTGGTTCTGGCTTGTGAACTCTACATGAATATTTATTTATTCAATTTATATAGCTGCCCATCTCACATATGTGACTGGGTGGCTCACAAGTTAAGGATGGTCTCTTGACTGTTGAAGGAATAGTGACAGATTAGATCTGGGATGTAATCAATGCTTCACTGCAGGAAGGAATGAGACTAGCTGCCTTGAAAGAGACTGTGATGTATCCCCTCCACAGAGGGAATGATTTTTATAACTATCATTTTGCCTCTAAACTTCCTTTTTTAGGGAAGGTTAGATGAAAGAGATTATCTGGATCCACTCCAGTCAAGATTCAGGCCTCAGTATGTATTAGTTACCCTGAACAATGACTTTTGTTATAATCTAGACTGGGAGAGAATCCTTTTCTTGGTCCTTTTGGATCTCTCAGCAGCTTTCAATACCATCAATTATGGTATCCTTATAGATTGCTTTACAGAGGCTTGGGTTGGAGGCAGTGTTCTGCAGTGGTTCTATTTCTTCAATGGGGGGTTCCAATCAATGATACTAGGGAAGGAAACATCAACAGAGTTGTCCCTCCTGTGGGAGTGCCATAAGGTTCAGTTGTTTCTCCCTGCTTTTCAAGCTGCTGGAACAGGTTATCCAATGATTTAGGTGCATCAGTATCCTGATGATACCTAATTATACACTGCTATCCCAGGCTGTGTTAGAGATGCTGACAAGGCCTTGATTCGGTTTCTGGAGTCTGTGAAGCATGGATGGGACAAAAACAGGTGGAACCCTATTTGTGGTTTCTTGTCATTCACCAGCTGTATCTCTTAATAGTGTGAGAATGCCCCTGAAGCAGCAGGTTTTTGCTTTGGAGTCCTCCTGGACTCACGACTACTGATAGAGGAGCATGTTAAGGCCATGGCTGGGGACCCTTTGCCCAGCTTCAGCTGGTGCACCAGTTGCAACCTTATACAGAATGGAAGGATCTCACCACCATCCATTTGGACTGCTGTTATGCACTCCACATCAGACTGCTTTGGAAGAATACCCAGAAGGTTCAATTAGTCCATAGTGCAGCAGCCCAACTGTTGGTGGGTACTTGGCAACATGACCTTGTGGCACCAGTGTACTAGGCCCTGGCTGCCTATTAGCTTCCATGTGCAGTTCAAAGTGTTGGTTTTGACCTTTCAAGTCCTACATGGCTTGTTATTTGTTGCTGAGTTATCTTCAGGACTGGCTTTTCACCCAATCTTGACTTGCCTGGTATGAAGTTCCCAAGAGAATCTTCTAATAATTCCCCACTTTCATTGAGTAATGGGGAGAGAAACCCTCAGACATTGTTTCTCTGTCATAGCACTGGCACTCCAGAACACCCTTTCTCCAAAATTCACGCTTTCCGAAATTATTAAAGACTGGATTGTTATAAATCCTGAATGTGCCATTGGGACTTGGTGGCCCCAAAATATGTAGAAAGTACCAGGTTGCAGAAGTTAAGACTAGATAATACTGGCACATATGAAATGAGAGTCTAGCTCAGTGTGTCAGCAAAAAATATATAAACCAGATACAAGATAAAATCACAGCACGTATGACTAATGGATGAATAAAACAGGATTCTGATGTAATAATTCCGTTTTGTCTCAAAGCATTCAGTAAATAGATATGTGAAAGTACCATTAATAAAAACTAGCAAACTATTTCATCTGCCTATTTACATCTGAAGTTTCTGCTTATATCCAAACCTTTATGAAGCCACAGCAAATTTCCTCACAAAGTATTTTCTTCATTTGTTAAATAATGTACATATGAGCAGACATTTTTAATAGTTCACATTTTGGATTGGAATTAGCTGAAACTATTATCCTGAATTATTATAACCTAATATATAAGAATAACCCTGCTAAAACAAATGTGTTAATTGCTGATCAACCCCCACCCCCAAAAGTTGTGAAAATATTCTTTGTAAATAAGACACAAAATTCTGTTTAACTAAAAGACAGCTGGAGTAAGGTGGAATGCAGAAAAAAAGCAGGCAGTATCATTATAATTCAACTCTAAACTCCCTATCAGTTTAAAGACATTTTACAGAGAATCTCTCCTGTCCAAGTTAGCATTAGAAATGTATTAAAATAGGAGATCAAGGGCAAATTTTCTTTTCAAGAAGCCAAAGACATTTCTGCTTGTACCACTGACTAAACACAGTATATTCTGGAATTAACAAAAGGAAGATTCAATTTTGGCTAGTTAGAAGAGATACCTAAAGCTGCTGTTATTCTTATTCTAGGTAGTCCTCGTTTAGCGAACACAATTGGGACTTGCAACTTGGTCAAGTGAAGCAGTCGCTAAGTGAAACCACAACTGTGCTTATGACATTACTTCAGCTTTCCTTTGCTTTACAGACCTTCAAAGGTTGTAAATACAAGGATTGGTCACAATGTTACTTTTTCATCACCATAATTGCAGTCACTAAACAAGGACAACCTGTATTATTTTCTGCTTTTTTAAAATAAATAACTTAAGGTGGCAAACATAGCTAATATTCCTGCCTCCTATTTTCTCCACAACAACTCTGCGAGGTGGGTTGGGCTCGCAGAGAGTGATTGGCCCAAAGTCACCCAGCCAGTGTAAAAAAATCAGGAGTCTGGTAGCACTTTTTCCAGCTAACAAATTTTATTAAAAGGCATAAATTTGTTAGTAGGAAAATATGTTATCAGACTTTTCAGAATTATCAGAATTTGTCAGAATCATCAGAATTTATCAGAATTATCAGAGTTTTTTGCCACCACAGATGGAGTTCTTCTCCTATAATGTCTAAAGCTGTACCTCAATGTCTAGGTTCCACACTGTTTTATGGCACAGCTTGTTTTACAATGCTTATTGACTAAGGCATAATGGTTTAGTTTACATAAAACGCTAAATGATAAACCACTGTTTACAACACACATTATGAGTGAACCCAACTAGTCTGTAGCAAAATGTTGATTAAATCTGCTATTATGGCACACCTGATTTGGAGTGGAACAGGAGTCTACATCTTTTATTTCTAGAGCACATGCAAATATTCAGATAAAATTCACAACATTGGCTGATAATAGTAGAAACAGCACAAACTTAAATGTATAACTTATACCTATTTGTGAGTTTTATGCTACTGTATTTATGAATTCAATTAGTTTAGAGGATCACAAATCTGATTTCAAAATGTGTAAAAACCTCCTAAAATTGAAATTCCTAAATTATTCTTACATTTAAATACACTGAAGGTGTTTTTATTTAAAGAAAAGGCTTAAGAAACTGAGCTGTGCTTTATCGAATTTTTGAATGAAAAATTATTAAGAGAATTAAGATCACTAATATCTGCCCATCAGAAAATCAGTCACCAAAGGCTCTATTTTCCCTAGCAACTGTTTCTAAATTATCAGTATGCAGTGTACCCATGATCAATGAAAGAGATACTTGTTTACATAGCACTGAAGCCTTCCATACTGTTTTCCTTAATCTGTTGTCTTATGGA